AGGCCTCAGAGAGACTCTTTGTTTGATGGAATTGTTGTCAGCAAAACTGACTGAAGCACTGACCAGTGGCACAATCCAAGATTGATTTTTTTCCTTTCTGAAAAAAGTACTTTGTAGCTGTTAAGTGACCTAAGTTTGTGTTTGGTATATTTCAGCATGACTATTGCCACTAATGTGGCAAGGCTGAGGCAACTGGACAGAGTTTCATGTCTACCACTACTAGTCTACCAGCTTTTTTTTAAGAAGTCAGGAAGGATTTAATTTTACTGCTGTTTTGTTTCCATGTTTATTATGCTCCATTGTTGGTTTTGTGTTATGGAAGCCCCCAGCCTATCTTTGAGGACAAGGATTCCAGCACATTTGGAGCTATAAGAGCACAAAGCAGAAAATGTTCTCAGTCTCTAAATTTTTTAGCCTAAGTATAAGAGGTAACTAGATAAATCCAGAAAAAACTTAACCTCCCTCATCCCCACTAGAGAACTAGTGACAGGTGTAATCTTTACCTGTATATTACTAAGTCAGTTGCTATGAGTTTGTTATGAGAATCCCTCAGGTGCTTCTCTTAGAGCACACAGTCTGCCCTTTATTCCAATAGTTCCGTTTTTTTTTTTTTTTTAGGTTAATTTACCTGCTGCAAAGTGACTGCTAAAGTCAGCAGCAGATGCTGTCTGAAGATAATACGTTTTGGGTTCTCTTAGGTGTAAGAGTCAATCTATATATGTACCTTGTCTCATATCAGTATTTGGGTGTATTCACCAATATATTTGATATTTGGCTGTTACCATGGCACACATATTCTGTATCTAAAGTTGTGCCTGGCTGCAATAATTTGTTTTTAAGACTTTCAGCAGTTTATAATTTCTGCTTGTGTTTTCACTCTGCTTGAAGGATTTTGCACTTACTTTTTGGCAGTAGTTTAAAAAGGAAGTAACATTTAGGAGTTGTTTTGGAGAAGCTTTGTTTCTGTGACCTTTATTTAGGGAAGAAAAAAAAATACAAGAAAGCCTAATGACTTGTCTCTGAATATTTAAAGGCATAAAATCCTCATTCAGATCAGATTTAAATTTTCAGTCATTTCTGTGGAATGCAGCATTTTTCTTTCTGAAAGCTAAGGATCTCTGTAAACATCTCTAGGTCCTGATGCGAGAACATTGCTTAAACAATAAAATTATTGCTCAAGAGTTCTTATCCTAATGTATATGGGCTAGATTTCTAGGAGAACAAAAACTTTTAGAATATCTAAATGAAAAAATACAAAATTAGGTGCTTATTAACTGTAGCTGACTGGAGGCTGGAAGATACTTAGGTGACTACTGCTGGGATCTAACATGCTACCCTGGTCGGTCGCATTGTTTTGTCCTGGTGGAGCTTTCAAGAATGGCACTGGGCAGCTCCTTGGTTATGGGGGTCCCACTTTCTTGTCCCTGCATTCATCAGTGATTTGACTGGAAATAGCCAAGGAAAAAGTGGATTTTTCCTTAGCAAACACTTTATAGAAAACAAGTTGATGCTAAGGTTCATTTTTTGCTCAAATATGGAGTGACAGTGTGTTGCAGGAACCATTTAATGGAGAAACTGGGAAAAATACAGAACAATCCTTTGTGTTCTTTAAACTGCATGTATGTGCAGAGCAGTCTTGCTTCAGTGAGTGTTGATGAAATGTTCTGATTCTTGATTTCATTTGTGCCAGTAGACTCAGTTCTTTGGTAGCTTGACAAGCCACGTTACCACTGGGTGTACTCCCATTCAGAGACAGAGATGTTGAGGGGAACATAAAAGGTACAATCACAAGCTCACCCCTGACTGAAACTTTTAGAGGAACTGAAGACTCACACAGGTGCAGCTCTGTTCCATTCTGAATGCAAAGTGTACTTCCCTCAACTGCAGCAAAGTATTAGCTTTCCTGTTTTAAAAGATATGCAAGCAGTAATACCAAAACACACCATAACAGAGTAGTCAAATGCTGTGGAATTGAAAAGGGGCAATTTCTCTGGAAATTCTGAGTCTTGATAAATGCTCCTATCTCTCTGGTGTGGAAAGAAGTGCTTGGTGCATGCGTCCTGTTTCTGGTGGTTGAAACCCTGACCTTGTCAAAGCCATTCGGAGGACTCCCATTGACTTACCAAGGGTTCATCTGTCTTTGTTTTCAGAGGCATTTGGGTAACTGAGTACTAAGAAGCAAAGGGTGTGTGAGAAGTAGGGTGGTTGCTCAGTTCAGATGCCTGTGAGAACTAGAAATGAGGAAGAAGTTCACACTTCCCATTTAAAAAATATACTAATCAACAAATACCAAATTTACCTCCTCTTTGGGCTGTTTGGTTTGTTTTTTCTTGACTCGGGGAGTTTGTGGTGAAGATTGGGAAGAGATGAGAGCTGATGGCTGACACCTTACCTCTCTGCCTGCTCTCCAGACAAGTAGCTTACCCTGTCACCAAGCTGCACTATTAATTATTATATGCTCAGGAGTAGCGTTACTGGTGGAATCCTACAAACTGCTATCCTACAAATTTACTATAAATCTCAATTGAAATATGTGTACTGATACAAAGAATTTTATCAACAATTGGTGAGATCTACATGTGCAGACAAAGAGCTAAATTATACACTGTGGACTTTGCAAGCTGCCGTCTGAACATCCTCCCATTACACGTTGCGTTTGGCTGCCCAGCTGTGTAGCTAGAAAGTTGAAAAGCTCAAAACCTTGTGTACTATGCAGTCTGTACATTTGTCAGTATAGTGCAGTGTAACTTGTTTAAAGTTAGCTGTAGAAATGTTCAAGACAAAGAAAAAGTCAATCACTGCTTTTGTCAAGAGTAGAATGAAATATTCCGTGTCTGTCTCTCAACTGTAATGCTGTTGTTGAGAACTGTTATAGGCAGCTGTCTGGTGAATACAAATATGAGAGGAGAAAAAACAATTGTGAAGGACTGTTTCAGTTAGTTCTGTAGCTTTTCTACACAAGGTAGTTTGGTCTTTTGCTGTCTCTTCTCCCGAGAGGCTGCATATCAATGTTTAACATTTAACATTAAATACAATATTTAACTAAAAAGTACTTTTAGTCAGTGCTAGTGTTGTGGTTAGCATGCTACTAATGTGTCTAGAAATAGTCTTTAAAACTTAAAGGAATATCAATAGTTCTGAGAAAACTTTTTCAAATGAACTTCTTTTAGGTGGATTATTTGGATTTTATGCCTTGGATTGTATTCTCCTCAAAGTTGATAGGATTTCCGTACTTCTTTCCTTACCAAAGCATAGAGCCATTTGTTTGCACAGGTTTGGTCTCACAGTACAAATTCAATGCAATACTGCCTAGAGTTTCCAAAGAGAGCAAGGGTTGTTATGCCAGCTTTGGGCCAGATAAGTGGGATTTAGGATGACTGACTTCAGACTTTGGTCCATGACCCAAAACATCTTGAATCTGCATGTGGTGCAGACAAAGACAGGCAGCCATGCTGCAGAGAGCTAGCTTGGCTCGCAGGTGATTGTGCAGCAAGCAGGTAGAAGGGTGCAAATACAGTCCCTCTTGCTTCACCTGCAGTCAGGCCGTTCATTACTAGGAGATCACAGCCTGAAGACTCCAAGCAGCGTTTGGACTCTGGTGGAGGAGCCATTTCAAAATCATGCAGGGTTTGTCTTCGCAGTAGCAGCAGCTCGTTCCTCCAGCATAGGGACTAGAACCTGCAGGGCAGCAGGGGTGAGCCTGCCCACTGTATTTATATCCCTCATGAAGTTCGGGTGGAATGTTTCATGGGTCTGACCAGGGCAATGTCTTGGCAGCTCAACTAGAGATCATTTCATATCATAGAGATGTGAAAACAGTTATGTTATAAAACACCCAGAGTGCTGCTGTGCTTTATTAATACAGGCATTTTCCAAGGGAAAAATTAATATTTGCTAACAAGGACTGATTTTTTATTTTTTTGAGTTCATAAGGGCTTGTGTTAGCAAACTTTAGCACAGCTGGTGTAATACTTGACAAATCAGTTGGCCTTTTAATTTCCTTCTGTTTCATTTAAATATTTAAATGTGCTTTCTCCCTTCCCCTTGAAACTGAGTTTTAGCAGTGTCCCAGTGCATTGGGACAAATGTCAGTTAACCAGAAGCTGACGGGCTAGGAGTATGTGTGTGTGTATATGTGTGTTTTTAGGGCAAGTATATTTGGGAGTATTTGTGTTGTCAAATTTTGACCTTTTTAGATAAGATATGATAGTTCTGGATGAAAAAACAACCCTTAAAAATGCATTTGTATACCCAAGTTGTTGAAGAATAAGTTTGTATTGAGAAATAGAGCAGCTGAAGCAGGATCATGTGGCAATTCATAGAATTCAGATGAAGGTGGTACAAATGATTGCTGTTTAGAGGGAATTGTGTGCCTTCATTCTAATATCTTGTGTTGTATCTGCTGTTTTTTTCTCCATTGGTTTATATAGGCTAGGTTGTATTGGTGGGACAGGTGATGCATAATATGGAAATAACCATATAAATGGTTTGGAACATAATTCTTCAGAAGATTTGGCATTGACAGATTAAATGTACAGCTTTTTTTTTCTGGAATGGCACCAAATGAAAATGCATACTTTTTCTTTGCTTACAGTAGGGAAAATATGTAAGAAAATTGGCAAAGGATGTAGTTTCTGTAATGTAGCTTCTGGAGAATAATTGAAGATCTTAAGCTGTGTGTATTACGAAGAATCTTACTAGTAAGAGTAACTGTAGAAAATGCAAAAAAGATGTCATATTCTTATTTAATACTTTTTTTAAGAAAAAAAGAGGCTTAATTTCTGTCTTTGAAGTACTATGGTTTTGGACAGGGTAAGCTTCAGTATATGGTGTTTTCTTTAATCTTTTCCTGTGTATTTTTACTGAAAATAATGAAGACTGTTGTAAACCAATGACCAAGACTTAACTCTGTTTTCTGGGGAGGGGGTTTAGGTTTCCTTAATAGGTGGAGACTGACTTTTTCCCATCGTGGATGATCTTGACAGAGAATCTACTCAGCCATGTCGTACGGTGCAGGTTTTGGGGATCCTGACCAACTAGCCCAGCGCATAACTTCTAACATCCAGAAGATCACACAATGCTGTAAGTTGCATTTTTGCATGTTTTATATAAAATGGTAATAACAGTGGTATCCCTCATGGGAGGTTAGTTTCTCAGTTTCATTCATGGGAATTCACTTCTTTGGCTTCACCTGCTACTTTAACAGGTTCGTGGCACCCAACGCAGCAGATCCTTTGTACGTGTGGTTAAGTGTGATCTATCTTTGGGAAGTATGTTATCACTCTATGTTCACCAAACAAATAAATAATTAGTAAGATGGCTGCTAGTAATAAGCCAGTTTTGTCCTGGCCAGTTATGTGGCACCTTAAGATGGTAGGTTGAGAAGTTTGCCGAGCAAGGATTGCGTCAAATATTTGCTGGAGTTTGAATTGTTTAGCAGGGCCAGAAGCTGTGGCCTTGCAGCTTGCCCTTGGAAGTACATATTAGATATGTAAATAAGATTGTGCAAGCTTTAATATACTTGTGCTTAGATTCATGCCACCTAACTGGAGCGTTCAACTTAGAAGTAAATTAGGCTGCTGGGATTTTCAGGCTTTTACCATTTCCCTCCATTTTCCATTATATTTTTAATATGTGTGTGTTTATTAAGCAAATACAGTTTGATCTCACAAGTTACACAGAGCATACTGTTAATCAGAAGGGATCTAACAATGAACAGGATATGGCTAGATTTTGGCATACATGGTTTTAGTGTTATGCAGGACTTCTTGTGTATGCAGAAATGGGTATTTTTTTATTAGAACTTAAAATTAATTCTAGTCAGTTACATGTGTCAATTTTTATTAAAACTTTGATGTTTGTCTTGCAGTACAAGGTTTAGGAGTATTTGTAGCACAGATTACTGGCATAGATTGAGCTTTTGCCTATTTTTTTCAGCTACCTTTTATATCTTCTTTCAGAATAAATTTCTTTAAATTTCAACAGAAAAGATGAAGAATTTTAATTTTGCTCTATTGAAAAGTTTCTGTACATGAGGGTTGTATTTCTTCAATCTAAAATTAATCAGTGAATTCCCTGGCTCTCACGGCTTCTAACTTGATCTTCCAGACACCCCTACCAACCTGTGACAGACACTGAGGCTCCAAAACAAAAAAAAAGGTCTCGGTTGTCAGGTGAAAACGTGAAGTGAAATTGGGCTGAAATTGGAGCACTGTGAAGACAGTCACTGAACTTAATTAACCATCTTTGCTGGATTCAGTGAGTCCATAGTCTCACCCTGCCTCTTCCATCTCCTCTCTTCTGCTGTGTCTCCCCTTCCCTTGTGACAAACAAGGTGTACTAAAAGTAAGGTACCTGGGGTTTATATAGGAGACATGCCACAGTGGTTACCTGCTCTCCTTTCCACTTTGAAATATAGATGGCTGATGGCTGAGCAATATACAGGTGCTTCTGCCCTCCCAAGACCCAAGTCCAAATCTCTCTTAGCCCCACTGCTGCCTGGCTTCAGAAACAGGAACTTTGCCTTCAAAAATGCCAGCCAAGCACTTTTCTAGGTGGTGGGTACACAGCTGGATTCCATTCCTCTCTCTTCTGTAGGTCTGAGAGAACAGCAACCACCCAGTTGCTCTTGTAGTCTGTTCTCCTCTGGTGGCTTCTGAGGATCTGGATCCAATGGGCAGGCAGAACATGTTTCCTGGGCTGAGCTTTCTAACGACTTGTGTCCACTTTTCTAGGTCTTTCGTTTACATGTGTAGTACCAGTCCAGCTTTCTGTTGGAAGGTGTGAGCTGCAGGGACTTCCAGGTCAGATGAGGAAAAACCGTCAGGCTTAGGGAGCTATAGAACTAGTCAGCTGCTGAGGAGGTGTCTCTTAGACTGTAATTTATGATTTTGGTTAAGTTCTTTCCGCCTTCATATAGCCCACTGTCATTTAATGACAAGCAAAGCTCATCTCTGTGCTGGTTTAGCACACCACTTCAGTTATTAAATCAGTTGCAATCTTTTTGGTTTGGGTTGTTCTGTGTTAACTGAGAATCTATATTTGTATCAGGTAAGGGCTAGGTTAGCTTAGCACCCTTTTAACTTCAAAGAGCAGATTTTATTGATCTGTTGATCGGGTCATGCTGTTGATTGTTATGTTGAAGGTGTGTTAAGAGTTGCAAATCGCTTCTGCTTTATCTGAACCACTGGTGAACTACTACAGTAAATTCTATTTGCAGTGGGCTGTCTGTGTTTCTTTGGAGGAGAGGATGTGGGTGGGTCATTTTTATGACCTTGAAGATAAAATTAAGCTAGCTAATGGAAAGCAGCCTACAGTGCTCTGCACTCTGAGCTCTATGGGAAACTTAAGCCAGGAGGGCACCTATACGTGTCCGAGATCCCAAACCCCAAAGTGTTCTGTGGAACAAAAAGGTTCTTTCAGCTGTTCTTTAAATAAGTGTCTGTGCTCTGGTTTCCATTTCCAGCATTTCTGCAGAAATGATTGTAACATCTCTTAGCAGCGTCTAGGGAATGGAGTCTACTTTCCTCAGCATGAAGCTCATGTTTTGTCACTGACACCTCCGAGATGAGATTTAAGGAACTAGTCTGTGGAGTGTTTCTCTGTGCCTTTTGTTAAAACTTCCACAGAGCAGCTGGAATTGCAAAACTTATGGCTCTTCTTGACTTCTGATGTAGAGTGGCATGCCTCAGGCAGGAGCAGGAGAGTCAGGCTCTCAGACCCACCTCTAGCATTTTTGGAGAACCCATGTGACTGTCTTTGAGCAGTGCTGTAAAGCCCAGGGACCCTGAGTCACATGTGTTTGAATGAGCTACAGTGTTGTGTGCTGAACCTCAGTGAGGTCAGCCATGCCTGCAGGCCCTGTCTCACTGGTTTGGTGTCATGTCTGTGTTAACTGTGATGAGAATCAGATCTGCAAAGAGCTAGGGGAGCTTCAGATTGCAAGAATATACCCGAAGAAGTGTATAATGAGCTCTGGGCACCTCTTAGGCAGCTGCTAAATTTCTGTCTTAGTAGAACACAACTTACGATAAGGGTTGAAACACTGTCTGTCTGGAATCTAGTCCAAAGTACCTGTAATTCTCATTCCAGGACTATCTTACAACTGATTAGAATATCTAGATGGCACACATTGTGTTAGACTTTTGAAATATTAATTTAAAGATGGTTGAGGTTTGTTCCTAACTTTCTGAATATGGAGAACAGAATATAAGGAATGATGCAGGGTGCAGGACTGTAACCGGTCTGGGCTTTGCAGATGAAGAACCTGTTATCAAGGTCTTTTAATCAGTGTTTACTGAAGGAGCAGTAGTTCCAGAACTGGGTTTCATAGGTTTCACTCTCACTTTTGTGGCAGCTTAATGACAGCTGCTTTTAACTTGAAAGAAATCTCAATGCCTTCCTTCAGTATTTCCTTGAAATATTTCCTCTTGGCCACTCATTTACAGCAACTGGATAGAAAAGGAATGAGTGTGATGCACAGAAACAAGATGAGCTAGCAAAACATAGTTCTTTGTGGCAAAGCAATTCCTGCCTGCTGAAAAATCTGTATTTGTACCAGGCATGTTCATTTACAAAAGCAGGAGTATGGTAACCTAACAGGATGACATAACATTGAGTCCTTATTGTGATTTTATTTTCTTTCCCTCCCTCTCTTCTTCAAGAGCATGAAGCAAATTCTGCAAGAGAAAATCTAATCTTTCAACAATTGGAAAGATGAAACGAGAATAAAACAAAACAAAAAGCCTAATTAAAAAGCTTTTAAAATATGTTAGTTTCAGAATTCTTACAGGTGAAGGTGAGGGGGAACAATTTTTTGAAATCTGGCAGTTTTCTGTATTTTGAAGAATTTATCTTCTGTGTAGCAAAAAGAGGGAAAGCATTTTGTTTAAAGAGGTGTTCCCAAGAGGGACCAAAAAGGGGGTTAGTCATCTACAAGGATAGCTCCACAGTTATGAGTAGGAAGGGTATGGTTAGAGGAGTAGGGGCCTCTTCTACTCAGCTGGAAAGATTTAACTTGTGTCTCTGACAGGAACTGTGCAAGAAGAAGTAACCAGCCGTGGTTTTTCCTTCCCCTTTGTGCTGCTTCTCAAGTCTCTGTCCCAAATGTAGGTTCATTGAAGAAGCAAACTTGTGTGCTTTGGTTTTGCTTTCCTCCTGATATTTTCTTTGTAGCTAATGAATACGTCACTCAGTGCAATCCTCAAAGAAAAGCAAGGACCATACAGACTAGATAGATAACTATCATCTCTCCCCTGGCTTCTTAAGCTGGTCTTTGGGAGCTGTTGGTTTAGAAGCAGTTTATAATGTTGCCTTTTGCTTGGGAACACAGAACAAAGCCTGGTGTTGATAACATACACCCAGTCCCCGACTTCTAAAAAGCTTCTGGTTTGCAAACTGTAATCAGTTACAGAACCTTTGCTAACTGAAGAGAGGCATTCACATTCCCTCCCTACCTCTCCCTTCCCAGCTCCTCTAGTTTGTGAAGGTTGTGGCAGGATTTTGTGCTGTGGTGGTTGCAGAGCCAGCACAAATGGCATAATCTACCCTTGCTCGATATTGGGAAGGTCAGTGATAGAGTATCTTAGTTATTCATGCATGCTGAAAATCAGCTAAGCTAGAGAAACATATGCTTTGCATACTGCAGGATAATAAACTAAATTTCAGTAGCCACAATCCACACGTGGCTGGAGCCTGTCTGGCTTTGAGAGCTTCTTTCTCATAAAGACTCTTGCTTTCTGCTGACTTCCTTTTCTGTTTGTTAAGGTAGCACAAACATCAGCTCATATAGGGCACATTCCCAGAAGGTCAGCTTCAGCCAGCTGAGATCCCTCTGTCATGTGGTAGCTCTCCTGTGACACAAGTTTATCTGGTTTTTGTTGCATCCCAAGTTTTCTATAAGCCAGTATTTTCACTGAATGTTGCTGAAATGGGAGATGAATTACATCAATCATATGACTTTGTCTTTCACTTTATGTAACTATAGAAAATCACAGATTAAACTCTAACACATATTAGAGTTCTGATATATGCCTTTTTATTGTGTTTAAGTCCTTGACAAAGGCTGAAACATTAATGGAAAA